CCCCATACCCACAATAATTGTTCCTTTTTTTGTACTCCGATTAAAACGCCTGTTCTGACCTTGTGTATATCGGCAATTACACGCAAGTTTTCGAATTTGCGCGAAATTTCGTTTACGATGGCTACGAAAACTTCACGCTTGAATTCAGTTCGCGAGAGTGAAAAAAACCAAAAGAAGGTAAAATTTGAAAGCAGGAAAACTCTATCTGACAAATTAGAATTTTAAGGAGACAACAACACTTGATGTATCATCAAGTTGCCTTTTTGCTCTAGATGGGTTGAATGAATTTATGGTATTAACATGTATTTTTAATAATTATTGTAATATAGTGTCTGAAACGCCTGCTTGCTTACGATAATTGTATTTCTGATGTGGAATGCTTACAAAGGCAAGAAATTTGGTAGATTTTATTTGATAGACTTCATCAATTAGAAGTTGTGCATCTTCAACATAATAATGTCCGAAAGATTCAAAAAGCCTTCACAGAATGTACAGCGCTTAACGAATTAAGACTAGATTTCAACTGCATTTCGAAAATTACAAGCTTAACGTTTGAAAAGTGTGAAAATTTAGTAGTTTTGAATCTAAGTTTCAATCAATTGGAAAGTATTGAGGTGAGGTCGTGTACGACTAATCCTGTTGCTTTAAGTTTCTTCAAAAGCTTCCATCGCTCAGAGAACTCTACTTATCGAATAACCAACTGGAGTCAATTATTCCCGTGACATTTTGTAAGAAAGTGAGACCGTACTTTACAATAACTAAGTGCTTAGCTAACGGATTTAGATCTTTCGTCAAACAGAATTATTGAGGCGAACGAGGGCCTCGACGGTCTGGAAAATCTTCAGTCTCTCAATCTGTCGAGAAACCAACTATCTAGTTTATTTGGACTCAATAAACTTCCGTACTTTTTTTGTTTATTAACTGGCCAAAGCAATGTCACAACATTTAACATTTCAGACAATAAACTCGATTCTGTCACATGCATAGCTCTGGCATGTCCTTCAATAGAATACCTCGATCTAAGTCAAAATCTGGTGCAGAACGTCGATGAAATTTTGGTGAGTCTCTTCGAGTTTATTTCGTGTGATGGAATAGGTAACTTTCTGTAGCTCAGTCGATTATCCTTATAATGGTAATGCAAGCGTGACATCCTTTATACATTTTCATTCTATTTTTTTATAAAGGACATCTTTTAAAACACCGCCGTGACCTCATAGTTGCCTATAGAGGTAAACCTTGAAACTAAATCACTGTATGAACTGCGTCAGTGCTGTTTTGCAAGCTGACGGACAGTATCCTATCCCTGCCAACACACGGCCCCAGCCTAGGCGGGGCTGGGAACGGGGCCAGGCGGGGCAATCTGGGGCTTTCCAGGGCCAAGAGTGAACTAAATTTACTGTACACATTTTTCCAAATCTCTTTTTTGACAAAAAAAATGGATTTCGAAAAATGCTTACAAAAAATTCAGTTCACTCTTGGCTCCGGACTGCCCCACCTGGCCCCGGGTATTTCGAGAGGACTAGGCGGGACTGGTGCTTGCAGGGATGGTTAAAATTTGGAAATATGTGTAAGTGCCTGAAAATCAACAAATATTGGCTTCTATAGGCGGGCAAAT